TACTCTTGTCTTTATCTTTTCCATGATCAACGACAACTTAGTCTTGATCTTCCTCATAGACCTAGTCATTTGTGTCGTTAGGTTTAATAGTTTCAGCTTTCCCGATTTTGACGACCACTTAGTGGGTGTCAACATGGGACGGTTATTCTCGCTGCTTTAGCTTTCTCCATCTTACGATGATCCTTTTCTTCCTTCTTTGCCTTTTGGCTTCGCACGAACTCAGTTACTGCTGCTAGATTTCGCCCCAACTTTTGTATCTTAAAGGTCACTTCCTGATCCTGAGAATAAAATCTCCTCTGGTATGGTCGATCGTATGTCCCGTGTGATATCGACCTACCACGTCTAGAATTTGACGATGACGGTGGGCACTCAAATAATCTAGCCCTTCTGTGGTGGGGGCATTGGTTTGCGTAGTGCCCCTCTTCCCGACAATTAAAACAGGTCGGCCCTCTTCTCGTCCCTTTCTCATTACGTCCTCTCTCGTTTCTTCAATCTTCACCCTCCGTCTGTTGGGAGTCCTTCTGCTCACGACCCCCTATCCTACGAACCTTGGCGGTTTGCCCACGTCTTCACCCTCAATGTACTTCCTCTCCTTTGGTGTCGCCTCCAACAACGCCTTGACTCGAAAGTTATCACCTCCAAATCTCATATAGCACGCTCACTCCTCCCGGTGATCTCCTCCAGGTAAGTTCACATGTGTCGTCAACAAGTAGTGTTAACTTAGAGCAATATAATAATCAGCGGATTGCACAGAAAGCAGTCAACGTACGTATGCACGTTCATGAGTACATAGTGTAACCATTGAAAACCAGATTGAAAGAATTCAAGTATAACAAGAGAAGGCGTCGTCAACACCGCGTTTGGATGACAACTCAAGGGGTTTCCACCACGTTCCCCAACCATACATTCTTTCCACTTCCCACTTCCGTTCGTGCACGTACCATCAGTTCAGACTTCCTGTACCCACGTCAGAATACCAGTCCCAAAAGAGGCTATTGACTATGCATACTCCCAACTTATTGGATGTCAAATTTTTTGTCCACTAGCTCCGACAACCGGTATCTGTTGTCTCGTCTGTGTCCCGCTAGTACTTGAGAAAAAAGTCCTGCTAACTAATTACTATGGTCCAAAGTCTATCCGAAATCAAACAGCCGCATCTTGACAAAGCGTGTGCATTTAATTCCTGGTAGCACCGTATATTGACTCAAGTGGCCTAAGTTGATAAATTTTAACCTGAAAAATCCATACGACTGTATTAGCCTCCGTAAACCCTATCCAAGTTACCTGATAAAAAAATTTTCAACAACTCCTGGACCAACTATTCTGGGGGAAACTTCATAGGAAGCCAACTTCCAGACATTTTGATTAGCCTTTTGGTCCTATACTCATTGGCAAGTCTAACGAACGATTTGCACGCCAATATCGTTGCGAGACTCCACAAAGAGGCCCCCTCTGCTGCCGCTAAACCCCGTAACGTTTTTTTTAAAATCAATCAATTAATAAAAAATCTAGGCTACCTGTCGGGCCCCCCGGGTCACCCTATTTTCCCGGGCGATACGACTGTGCAAGGACCACAGAAGGCCCCAGCCAAAAAAAAAAATCGAAAAAAAAAAACTTTGTTATGCAGAAAAATAAACTCAACAACTTTTGCCTTAGGGTAACATCGAAAGTCTTTACGAAATCTTAAATAAAAATTATAATTCAAAACTTTTTTTTTTTTTTTTTTTGATTTTTATTTTGCCTGGTCAAGCAAGTGGACCCGGGCCACTCTGGTAGCCTAGTAAAAAATATAATAAAAAATATTATCTAATCGAATCAATCGATTCCATTGGATCTTGATTTTGGTATCAAGATCCAATTCAATCAATTGATTTGATTGGATTTTTTTTTTTTTTTTTTTTTTTTTTCATTGATTGATTCATAGATTGATTTATCTTTCCTTCAAAAAGGGTTAGGGGTCTGGGCGTAGTAGGCGACGGATGCAATCAATCAATCAATCAATCAACACCATCGATTTTGATGAGTCTTAATTGATTCAAGATCCAACCGAATCGCGATTCGATTAGATCTTGAATCAGTCAAGAGCCATCAAAATCGATTCATTGATTGAAGTTTGATTCATAGACTGGTTGATTGATTGATTGATTGATTGATTGATTGGTCGATTGATCGATTGATTGATAGATTGATACGTAAATTGATTGATTGATTGATTGAATAAATAAAAAGAAGTACAGAAAGAGTCGACGTCCGCTTTGACAGTGTCACTGTCGTACTCCTCCTCCTCCTCCTCCTTATCGTCCTCCTCCTCTTCCTCCTCCATCTTTCCCCCCCTCCTACTCGTTGTCTTCCCCCTCCTCCTCCTCCTCTTCCTCCTATTCCTCCTGGTCTTCCTCCACCTCATCCTTCTCCTCTTCAACCTCGGCCCTTTCCTCCTCCGAGTCGTCTTCCTTCTCTTCTTCCTCCTCCTTAGCCCTTTCCTCCTCCTCGTCCTCCTGTAATCATGCGCTTATCCCGATAAAACTCTTCAACAACTTGAACTATCCCTAGGAAAACTTAGGAGGCAACTATGTATCCCCCGTGGCCATAGCTTCGTGGGCGGGATCAGAGGGCGGCCATGTTCATGGCCACATCCGCGGCTGGGGTCGGCCGCACCACAACCACGAATTCACATGATTTTTTCCGTAAAAAGTAATAGGCAAAAAACCCTACAACCCCATATTTTTTTTTAAGAACCAATGAATTCTTTGGAATTATAAAAAATAAAAAACAAAAAAGACGAGGATTTTTTTTTTTTTTTTTAAGCAAAAAAAAGAAGTTTTTTAGGGGGGGGATTTTTTTTCGACAGTTCTTTTTTTTCTTCGATTTTACGTTTTTTTTTTTTTTTTTTTTTTTTTTTTTAATAAGAAAAATATCAAGGATAGAAAAAAAAAAAAAAAAAAAAAGTACTGTAATAGTTTGTTATTTTGCAATCACGATTAGTATGGGTGGGGGGGGGGGGGGGGGGGGGGGGGGGGGGGGGGGGGGGGGGGGGGGGGGGGGGGGGGGGCCCCCCCCCCCCCCATTTAAAAAAAAAAAAAAAAAAAAAAAAAAAAAAAAAAAAAATGTGAGAGAGAGAGAGAGAGAGAGAGAGAGAGAGAGAGTTTAAGATAGAATAGGATGAGCAACTTAACGGCCAATAGGTAAGTCTCCAACCGCGCGGCACCCGTCACCCTACTTCCATCTATAAGATGACGAAAATCGAATGAATCTTCCGCGAGAACATGGAAATCTGGGTAGCACGGCGTACACGTACGCGGGCTCCGCATATGCGCATACGCGTATGCACGTATGCGCATACGTGACGCATACGTATGCGCGCATACGCAAATTTGGGGCCCGCATACATGGTCACAGCGGGCTGTTTCCCGGGGTTGTTGGGGGGGTGGGCGTTCGGATTGGTGTGTGTGTGTGTGTGTGTGTGTGTGTGTGTCTGTGTGTGTGT